ATCTTCTGATAAGTGGACGACCCGCTCTACCTTCTGAGCTACAGCCGCCCATAATTTTAAATCCGTGCGACCACAATGCACCTCTGAGCAGATCGTGGGATGTGAAACACTCTTAACATCACTCAAACCACAGGAAAATCTGCAAGAGGATCTCTACAACCATCAAAAAAAAAAAAATAGGGCTTGAGTCCGGCCAGGGACCTTTGCAACACCTCTGTCTCTCTCATTTCCTGTTAAATGCAAAAAAACATTCACAAAGGAACTGGTCAAGTTTGAACCCCAAAGATATTAATACATACTGCTAAAATAAGGGTAAATAATAATGGTCTGGATTACTGACTGAGCAAAGTGGGCCACTGCCGCAGGCCCTCAGGTCCTAGACGGGCCCCTACAAGCCCCAACTGGGCCATTTGTGGCAATCTGATTTATTGTGATTTAGTCTGAGAGTATGGTAAAAAGCAAAAGCTAAAGCAAAATTTCAACTAGCTAACGTGGTGCCTTAATCAGGTTACCCCTGTACATGATCTCTTACCTCTGCCTGATGGAAATTATTCATATACATTTATGTGCGACTATTTTGTCTGACATTTTGATGGGAAATGTAATTGCTGCTTGGATTATGTTTTTTTCCAGCAGCTCATTTTTCCCCGGGCTGTGGAGCAGGCTAATCCAGGCATGGGTACCATTTCTTACATCTTGTTCTCATCCACTTTCTTGAGCCACTTCAGACGGTATTACAGACAATAGAGTGACATGATGTAATGATATTTGTTTGGAGCTATTTTAAGTTCCTGGCTATTTAAAAAGAGATCATGCAGATTTGCTTCGTATTTGTTCGACTAATGCCAGTAAATGTCACAGAGAAGTCTTAATCTGGACATTTGAACACATCGCAAGCCAGTCGATGTGTTTGCACAGGCACACACACACACACACGGGCGCACACACACCTCCTCCTCCTCATGTGGACAATCCTCCAAATATACCAGTCTTACTGAACACATAGCTGTAATCCCTGCTGTTTATCAGAAATCAAAATCCATCTGACTCCTACTGTGATTGATGCTTTGGGGTTTTGCTAATGCTTTAGTTATCACGAGGGATTATGGGACTTACAAAAACCTGCCTGGGCTCCTGTACTGGTTCATGTCATTAAACTGTGTGAGAGGATTGTGCTGCTGCTGCTGTCTATAATCACCAGAATAAAAACTGATGTGTTTAATCACAGGTTGTCTCCCGCTGCTCTGCTGTGCTGTCCGCTGCACCCAAAATAAATACAAATAAAATACAAAAAAAAAAAAACCACACACAAAAACAGAATTTACTTTGTTGCACCAGCTGAAATAAAAAAGTCATGTAGATTATTAGACAGACAGCAGACACAAGGAGAGCAAGGATGTATGATTAATCACACTTAACTTGAAGGGGGTGCAGGTTGGTGCTGGTGGAGGTGGTCGGGGGGGCACATCTAAGATCTGAATGTAATACTGCGAGCCTGGCGAAAGGTGTGCTCACAGAGAGCCGGTGCACAGTGATTGTGCTGAGGACAGCAGGACAGGAACGACAGCAGAAGGATAAATCACCGCTCCCAGTGCAGAGAAAAGCCACAGTCTGAACTGGAAATAAACCAGTGGGACTCCTTACGCCTCGCTAATGGCCTGCGGTGCTTTCTGCCAAAAGATGCTCTCTGAGAGAGGGCCCACAGATCCGGCAAATGTACAGATGAGCGCTGATAATGCATCCTTGTTCAAAAGGTGGTGTATTTTTAGCTCCTGAGTAGGTGTGACATTGTGTGTCATGCTGGTTAAATCATGATTTAAAACTCTATTTCTGTAGCCAAGGCTTCGATTCAGTCTAGTCTTTTTCTAAAGAAAAAAAAAAATTAAAAATGTGTGAGCATCTATGAGACATTACTGCAGAGCTTTCACTACAGTGCTGAGTGTCCATTACACAACAGAACGACACCATACAACACTATGATATCATCGCTCTTGCCAATATCATAGAAAGTGGCAAAATTCATCAGTGTTGGGTATTAAAAATCACGGCTGAGGAACAGCTCCATTTCATCACAGAGACTGAGCAGCCTGGAACTCTTCGCGTGGCGTCCTTGTCCGCTTCATTTTGATAAAAAGCTATGTTTGCCGAGGATGGATTTAACCTCTCTGCACGTGCTGCTAAATGGCTATTTGGAAAATGTCTGTGCCACTTCAATGCCAGAAGCCAAAAGGTGATGCTCGCAGCTCAGGAGCAAAACCCATTCAAGTCACAACGATCACTCTTGCCATTGCTACCTGTCAGATAGAACAAATTGAATTTGTCTTCCTTCGGTGGCTTGTTGGAGCTCTAAACAGCGTATTAGTGGCTCTACTTATCAAAGCTGTCAAAGCAAATCTGTTTAGCTGTGAACCTGGGAGACTTAGATCAGCCCCCAGATGACACTTCATACATATACACAGCCCTCAGGGCTCACCAAAAATGAATGTCAGCTCTTCATCAGAATGCATGTCAATACCTGGTGAGAAGAATGACTCTCAGCGTTAATGCAAAATCATCCAGTGAGCTTTGATTGGGGGATTAGCAGCTGGTTTTAAAGTTCAAAACATTTGAGATTCACGTAACTGTTGTCATTTTAATTTTAAGGTAAAAATTCGGACATATTTGTTGTGGCAAGTCAAAACACTCACTCAAAGTGAAAGTCTGGCTCTGAAATCTCACGTCTCGCGAGATTTGAGTTGTTGCAGGAAGTTACCGCAGGAGTGACCTTAAAAACGCGAGGAGTTACTCTGTTTGGAGTAGTCATGGCTAAATTTTTACCTGATTTTGACCAACTGGATCTGGATGAGCCATCTGAATTTGATGACCGCCCGTATTTATTTGAACACGGAGTACACGGACGTACACGGACGCAGAGCTCATTGAAACTGAAGAGCGGACGAGGAGAGAGAGGGAGCAGCAACAGGCAGAGGAACATGTCAGAATCCAGCTAAAGGTAAACACAGACGTTCATTTCTCCTTTCCGTTATGTTGTCAGATAATTAAACTAACAATCCGAGCCTATCTGTGTGAAAAAAATGCACTTTTAGTGGACGTATTTTGACGTTGTTTGATGCTGTCTGAGTGCCCTATTATTTAATATAGCGTGTGCTCACGGGCTGCAGGCAGGTCAGCCCTAGCTTCATACTGGAGAAATGTCAAATATTGAACATCCTGTCACTCATTTAGACAAAAGAAGATCAGAAAATAGGGCCCAGGTTGAAAAAAACATTAGTTCCCCTTTAATTCTGCGTATTTTTGTGACACGGTGTACGTCCCAGGATGCAAGACAAATTTCAGATTATTTTTTCATACAATAAAGTGAAGTCAAATCTAAGGCTGCAACTATTATTTTCATTACTGACTAAAAAGATAAAAGGCTCAAAACAATTTCCTAGAGTCCAAAGAGACGTCTTCAGTTTGACTCTTATGTCCAACCAAAGGTCCAAAACACAAAGACTGTTCAGTTATGATTTTAAATGACAAAAATGTGTCAAATCTTCACATTTAAGAAGCTGAAAGCAGCAAATGTTTCACATTTTTGCTTGAAAAATGACTGAAACAAATAACTGATTAGCAAATTAGTTGGGGATTCATTTTCATGCGATCCACTACTTGTGGCAGCTCTAATAAATTCACACCCGCAAAACGATTCACATCCCCGTGAGCTTCAGCTGTGCTTCTTGCTGCTTAGCAAATGTTAGCATACTAACACGGTAAGCAAAAATGGTGAGCAAGGTAAAGATTATCTGCCATGAATCAGCACAGTAGCATTTCCATTATGAGCATGTTAGCACAGTGATGTTAGATGCATCCCTCTTCATCAGTTCCCAGCGCTCACAAGTTTTAATGTTCGTTTAGAATAATTGTCACTGAAAAGAGTGTTGACTGAGGATGTGTTTGTCAGATCTGACTTTTTGCACCCTACATGTTGAACTGTCAGTTACTGTGCATGTCGTTAAAATTTCAGTGATATTGAGCGGTAAAGCATGTTGTGGGGAAACTAAACCTAAATGCACCTCTGGAGCTTTATTGGCTCAGTGTGTGTCTCCTGTGCTGTGCTTCCTCCCTGCTGTCCTCTCTGTTCACATACTGCAGGTTAGCGCTGTCCCCCCCCCGAGCGCTGAGGTGAAAACTTGAGTGATGTTCCCGTCTAAGAGCGGCCCCTCTCACTTTTACACCAGCCTCCCCATCGTGCTCCCAGCGGGACATCCCTGTCATGCACTGAGCACGAGGCTCCAATAAACGCTGATGCCGGTGAAGACTCCTCATGGTGGGCGAGGCTGAAGTGCTCTCAAATGTGGCAACAGTGTTATCACTCAGAACCGCCTCATGTGGAGGTCATCGTGAAGCTGCCTGTCTAGGACTCTGTACACGTGACTTATGTGCTGCACTGCCATCGTACTCTCAACTCTACAGGCTATTAATTTTTACAAAATATAAAAAAAATCTAGAACTTGAAAAAGACCTAGAAGTGCATGTACCTACCAAATATCATAGGAAATCCAGCGCACTCAAGAAAAATGAAACCCACTGTGAGATAATTCCTTTGAATCATATATTCATAAATATTCATTGACAAATTAATATACCCAGACATCAAAGCGTCATTGACCAAGGTCAGTGTAATAGCGAGGTGTGTGTATGAGAGAGGGGAGTGTGAATTACACTTGTAACATCTCAAAAGCTTAAACAATCCTTCAGACAGGAAGTAACACCCCGAATATAGTTCTACCCCAGATCTGTCAGCCGACGCTCTGCCTGCACGCCGTCCTCCTGATATGTTACATCTAATAACATAAAGCATCAACAAAAAGTGTCAAGTGGCTCTTGTAAGGAATCTAAATCAAAACCAGAGCTACTGTAGTTGGCTTCATTATCTATAAATATCACAATCTAAGATTCTCGATCTGTGCACGTCACATTCCTGGAGAAGTCTCTGGTGGTGGTGCTACAACACTTACTTTAGGAAACTGCTTGACTGGTATTAAAACTTTCTGGCCCAGTTTCATGTTCTTGTTGATGACGACGTCAATGAACTTCTCTTCTTCCTTCCCCTCGTCTTTCTGAATTTTTTCAATCTCTGCAAAGAAGGGAGAAGAAGAGTAATGAGCCAGTGTTGACAAGCAGGACATGCGCAACACTGTGAAATGAACATTCTTGTCATGTTTTATGGAAAAGTTCCACATTTTGGGAATACACGTATTCCCCTTTTTACCAAGAGAGAAATAAAAAGATGAATAACACACATGTCAAAACAACACTTTTTACATCAACCCAGCACTGTGTTGCAGTTTCTTCTGCTGTAGAGCATTTTGCCAGATACAGTTGGTGTGCACAGACTTGTCTCTGTACAGGCCAAATGGTACCAAGCATGGCAACCCCAAAGCTGCACACAGTCACTGCACTCAGCTGTTGTTCACCAAGAAATATTCCAGCATGTAATGCCATCTTAATGGACAGTTCACCCCCCAAATCAAAATTACACATCTTCCACTTATCTGCGGTGCGATTTATCAGTGTAGATTTTTCTGGTGAGAGTTGCAGAGTGTTGGAGGTATCGGCCGTAGAGATGTCTGCCTTCTCTTGAATATAATGGAACTAGATCGTACAAGGCTTGTGGTGCTCAAAGCGCCAAAAAAATATATTTAAAAAACTCAACAGCAGTGTCTCTTTCCCAAAAACATGACCCGGTTACTCAAGATAATCCACAGACCTTGTTGTAAGCAGTTTCACTTTCTTCCTATCAAACCACCCCACTAACTGTATCATCACCCAGAAGGAAGTGTGCATCTACTCATGGACAAGAGGCTCGCGCTAATGAAAGCACAAGATGTAAACATTAATAGCTACCTCATCGGCTGAGCTGTAACGTTAGCTCAGTGGTGCTAGGTGAGCTAGCAGTAGATGCACTTCTCTCTGCATGGTGATACAGTTGGCGGGTGTAGTTCCGTAAAAACAAAATAGTTCATACATGAAACTGCTCACAAGCGAGGCTGTGGCTGTGACCGGGTCATGATTTTGAGAAAGAGGCCTTGCTGTTAAGTTTCTGAATTTTCTTTTCATGGCCAAGTGCCATCTACTTCCATTATAAATCAAATTACTTTTAACTACCATGCCTGGTATTTTAGTACTCTTAAGTAATTTAGTATTTTCTTAGTGATTTTATCAGTGAAGTGGTGCATTGAACAAGTACTATGTTGTCTTTTTGGTTGCATGTTGTTGTGGCTGTTGTGTTGTTGCCGCAGCAACAAATTAATTTCCTGGAAAGGATCAATAAAATTGATTTGATTTTGATTTGATTTGATTATATTGGAGAGAAGGCCAACATCTCTACATCCAACACTCGCCAGCTCACACCAAAACAATCTAGATTAATAAATAGCACCACAGGTAAGAGGAAAAATATTTGTTTTGATTTCAGGGTGAATTGTCCCTCTAACCCATAACCTGATTTTACATTCTTGCAAGGGTAAGACAAGATATTAGATGTTAATAATGACCTTTAGAGGTGTTATTTTTTTAACTTTTAACAGAGCTAGGGTTGCTCTTCCTCTCTGCTTCTAATCTTTATGCTAAGCTAAGCTAGCCACGTGCCGATCAGGCTTTTTACTTAACTAGAGCTGAAACGACTGCTTGATTAATCAATTGACAGAAGTAGTTGGCATTCATTTTCAATATTAAGTTGATAAGATATTGTTAAAAAAAAAAAAATTCTAGGAAAAATTTCCAAACATTTTTGTGTCCAACTTGTCAGATGAGAGAATTTGCTGCAGGTGTTCAATCATTGTAAACTGAATAGCTTTGGGTCCTGGACGTTTGGCTGGACAGACAAAAAAAATCATTTCAAAAACTGAATGAATCGTAAAGTCACAGAGAAAAGAAATCAACAGATTAATAATGAAAAAACATATGTATTAGTTGAAGCCCTAAAATTAACACAAAGATATGAAATTAGTATCAGTCCTCTCATTTTACATTCAGAAGAAAAGCACGTAAGCAGATTTCCCAAAATGTTGACATATTGCTTTCATTTGATTTAATCTGCTTGTCCATAGAATTAAAGGAAAAATTCCAAAGGCCCCATAAAAATATCCCCAGATGTCTTCAAATAGAATAATATGAAAAAACAATCGTATTTAATCAAATGGTACCATTACTGTTTGATTAAATGACTTTTATTAACCAATTATTTTAATCACTGTTGATTAATTTTCTCTTAATTGACATGTACTTTTCCCCAAGCAGTCGTCTGTAGATTTGCACAACACTTTAAAGCCTTGTAAACAGACGATGCTAGATCACTTCAGCATCACTCATTTCTCATACTAACTGAATCTCCAACACCATAGTATTTTTTAATTTGAGCAGAGATAACAATTTACTTCTACAGAAAAAAAAAAGAAGATGGAGAGGACACTGGAGTTTGCACCTCCAGGCTACCAAAAACATTGGCTGTCACGCTTCTTCTTATGGGAGAGGTGGACTTTGATGTATTTGGAGATGTAACCTTGAACGTTTAATCAGATGGATAACATCTGTGTTTCAGTGCCAGGAAAATGGTTTCGCAGAGAGGGCAGCCGAGAGGTGCGGGGAGGCTACGACAAAGACTCCAGGCTAAAAGCCCAGCAGGGGACAGGGTGAGGCAGAGGGCGAACTCCATCACAGATTTATTTCTCCTGTTCTAAAACATACTTTAATGGGGAAAAAAATATGACTAAAACAGGTATCGTGCTTTACATTTATGGTTCAGGTTTTAATAGAGATATTTGATGTGATGGTGATTAGATTCAGATAAAATGAGCTCTGTTTCAATCTGAAAACATAATAAACTCAAACATGTTCAAACACAAACCCAAATTTACCGCATACCCATTTTTCAATTACGCCCGGTCAGAATGAGCCTCACATATCAGCACTGCAAAACGATAAACCCAACAGTGATTTCCCAACAAAGCTCTGCAGCAATACATTTGCAGAATGTAATTAAAACCTTTGATATGAGTTTTAACGAGGATAAAAGAAGTATCAGTGAGATGGAGATATCTTTAAGCTTCCGTTTATCCCAAGGGGGGCAGAGAGTGCACATGAGGAAAAGACAACATTAATATTAATGCATCGCCTAGCAACATGCCAAGACGGAGTTTCCTCCTTCACCAGGCGTTGTCCTCAAAACATTCAGGCTCTGATATATTGGGAGATTGTGACTGAGGCTGTGTTTCAACTGCAAATTGTTCAATGTTTTTATTTTTAAAGCTTACACCAATTTTTTTTCATCTTGCCTGCAAAGAAAATGTTGCATTTCAAGTCCAAATAAGCCCCGCCAGTACAAGGCAATCAATCAGCAGGTGGAAGAAGCAGCCAAACTGCAGCTTCAAATAAGCTCGCCCTCTGAACACGGCAACGCAGAATCAGCTGGAGTGAATTAACTCAAAGATCTTGGTTGTGCCGCAGTTTATGAGGGAGAAGATGTGGCCATGTGAACTGAGAACCACCTCCATCTCGAGCCGTTGCCAAGTGTTCAAAGGAAAGAGATTTAAACATGCATCACTGACATACGCACAATGCGCCTGTTGTTTTTTTACCCTTCCTGCTCTATGAGACTCCTCTCCTCCAGCTGCAAATGGAAAGTGAATAACGTGTTGTAATTTGGCCGTTTGAGAGGCACAACACATACCTTTATTGAATCAGTGCCGTAGACTCCTGGAGCTCATTGAAAAATATCACTAGGTGTCTCTTTGTCGATTGTTACGGCTGCTGTCTTTTATGTGAGTACACACCTTCCATTCAGCAACACTGCTGGAATGTGCTGTGTGAAGAATGAGAGAAGTTCAGCGGGTTGACAGAGCTTTTAAAGTCAATGTGTCTCGGCTGCTCTGAGACCCAAATGGAACAAATGAATGAAATATTCAATATCGAAGATTTCCTTAAGATATGATGTTTGACTCCACATGCTCTTGGGGAGCCACTTGGCCTATATATTGTTGCATATGTATGAATATTCATGTCCCCTGATGAGGGCTGTTATGGCTGTGACATGTTGGTTATTCTTATTGCTCAAGAGCTGCAGGATTTTCATTCCTTTGCTTCATTGCATTTTAAATTCTTTGGTTTCCAAGGCTCCAAAATTAAGGTTTGATATTACCCATGGCCCCTGACCACAAAGAGTTACTCTGTGGCCACCAAATATCGCCTGTGGCCACTAAGTTTTATCAGGCATCTCTAAATAAACGAGACTGCATGTCTGAATGACTTTACCTGTTTAAATAAAGGTTAAATAAATGAATAAAATACCTACACTGTGATCCTTCACCAAAGCAACGTCACAATTCTATAAACACACTCATTCATTTGCACCTGGTAGTTTATTTTCCAGCCCGTCAGAGGGCTTTACAGCATATGACATCACTCTGTCCTTCCCTCACAGTGGATAAGGAAAAACTTCCCCTAAAAAATAGAGTTGTACCGATACCGATACCAGTATCGGAAATGCCTCCGATACTGATTAAAATGCAGTATCGGGTATCGGCGAGTACAGCCTATGACCAATCCGATACCACGTAATGCCTCACGTCATTACGCATACGCACGCTACAGGCAAATGAAATTGTAATGGAGCAGAGTTTAAAAAGCATTCTACTGTAGCCTTTAAAATGTCTTTTTTACCAACTTGTGTGGCTGCACTTTAACCTGAGTTGAGACATACAACAATTCATATCCCAGCCATTTTTTTTATGTTGATATCGGATCGGTATTCGGTATCGGCAGATACCTAAGGTTCAGGGTGGTATCGGTACATCTCTACTAAAAAACAGTTCAACGTTCTACAAAAACAAACGAACAGTACTCCTCACCAGCTAGCCAAGGCTTGAAACTAATGCCATCCTATCGTCCCGATGATGGGACAGTGAACTCCCATTAAATGTGGCAACAGTAAAGTTTAGAGTAAACAGATATAACGTTTATTCAAGTATTTCAGCTGGGTACAGTTAGGAGGCAATGTTAAAAGAACTTTAAGCTTGTTATCCTTGAAAACTGTATATCTACTGTAAGATTAAAGGATAAGTCTGAGTTATTACAACA